ACCAAGCAAGAAAAACTTGTGTTTTCCAGTCTAGCCTGTTGGGGCATTTATATATTTCAGCACATGACATTTTGAACTTCAAAGCTCATATTTCATCTGCATTGCATATAGTGCATTATGAGATAAAGCTTTGAAATTAAGTGGTCACATTTCTGAATTATTTGTGATCAGTTTAATGAGTTATAGGCAAATTTCCATTAGCTTCTTTTAGGAGGAATGAAGTTTGAGATAGCTCAAAGCAGTCCTGTTGGCTTATTACTTGGCTACTTACTACGAGGTTAATGGTTCAGACCCATCAGCTCCAGCACAAAGATGTGACAGTCAGTTTCTGTAAAGATAAGAAACCACCTCCTTGCCATCAAGTCAGGCACGACTCATGGAAACCTTATAGAACTGCCCTGTGAGTTTTCAAAATAATCTCTCTTCACTGGCGTAGACAGTGGTTAGTGGTTTCAAACAGCTGGCCTTGCAGTTAGCATGCCAGCACATACCAATGCACCACCTTGAAGGATGCTATCAGTCCAAATCTACTCAGGGCAAACCTTTTTGTTTGTTTCCTTTGGACCTAGGTTAGACTAACAGTGTCAGTGTCATGTCATATATTTTAGGACAGCCATTTTTTTTAATCTTAAAGTTATAGCTAAAAGGTTATAATTAAAAGTTTATTGCTTAAGTTTAAATTTAATAATACTTCCATCATTTACTATTTTACTCATTAGTACATATAGGATATTGAACACTTTATAAAGTTGTCATATTTATATTTCTAATGAACACAATTAGGATGATTAGTTTGATACTCTATTTACTCATATGAATAAATTAGTTCCTAAAATTCTCTCCGAAACATCTCGATGTAGACATTTTTAAGTTTTTGAAAAATATGATAAAATATATTTACCAATCTATATACTATCTCAGTGTCATCTCTTGCATTACATTAACTTTTGAAAATTGCAGGTATATTTGAGATGCAAAACTTTTGTGATTCTCAACATCCCTACTTGCTTCTTAAAAAACATTCTCTAGTACTTTCTCAGTAATAGGCAGAAATCCTTAGTTGTATATATAATTAAAGATTCAGCATGTTAAAGATTTTTTTGCATATTTTTTTGTTTTATTTTGATGATCATCATTTTCTAGATATAAAATGGAACGTTTCTGGGACACTCAGATCAAGTAGCAAAAGACCAATTTTCTCACTGCAGTATCAAAATTGATCCATCCTATTTGTGATGTAGCAATGTTGTATTTGTAAGTTATTTAAAAATAAAAATAATATTTTAATATAAATTGAGATTAGAATATAATTATCTTTTAGTTTTGAGATATATACATATTTGAAACCTTTATTTAAGCAATTAGGGACAAATTAATATTATTATTATTTTTTGTCATC